CTCTTTTCTCCGAACCATTTCTTCAGGTTTGGAAACAGGAAATAGTCGCAGGGGGCTAAATCTGGCGAATATGCTGGATAGGGAAGCAATTCGTAGCGGAATTCGTCGAATTTGGCCATCGATGCCGGGCACGTGTGAACCCGTGCATTGTCTTGATGAAAGAGCACTTTCTTCTTCGCCGAATGGGGACGTTTTTTCTTTAAAATGAAACGGTCTAATAAGGCTGAGTAGTAATCGTCATTGATCGTTTGCTTCAACGGAAGATAATCGATATGAATTATATCGTGTGCATCCCAAAAAACTGTGGCCATCACCTTTCCGGCCGACTTCACGGTCTTCGCCTTCTTCGAAGCTGGTTCACCGGGTGAAGTCCATTGTTTTGACTGTTCCTTCGTCTCGAGTGTGAAGTAAATGGATCCATGTTTCGTCCACAGTAATGAATCGACGCAGAAATTCATCTGGATTACGTTGTAACATCTCCAAACATTGTTTTGAAATCGTCACATGGTCGTGGTTATGGTCCATAGTGAGCAAACACGGCACCCATCTTGCCTATAACTTTTTCATACCCAATTATTCATGCAAAATTGAAATCACTGTGCCATGTGATATGCTTGTGGCCTCGACAAGCTCGCGCACTTTCACTCATCGATCAGTCAAAACAATATCGTGGATTTTATCGATGATTTCTGACGTAGCAACCTCAATTGGACATCCCGAACGAGGTGCATCACATGTGAATGTACGACCACATTTAAATTCATTCATCCAATTGTATACAGTCGCAAACGCTGGTGCAGATGTGATTCAGATGTGTTATGAACATTATCCAACTCGGCTTTGATTTCTTTCGTTAAACCTTTCATATGTAGATGTATAATCACTGTACAAAACTCGTTTTTTTCCATTTCGCAAAAAATACAAAGGTCGTTCGCTTTAATCGTCTACAGAAATGAAACCTCTCTATGAATTCCGCTCAAAATTTGACAGTAATCAGCTAAAAGATGCTACTCGAAAGTAATGTGTAATGTGATACTGCGAGTGCTCTCTAACAGATTTTCTAAAAACTTATTGACTTGTCCCGTATTCAACATTGAAGGAAAAATGACCCTTTTTCTTGATTAAATGATTCTAATTTTGTTAAAAAACTGCAGGCAAACTTCAAAATAAAATAACTTCGTCAAGAATCATCGTATTGAGATGTTTAAAAAACTATTTTCAAGCTTTAAATCTTTACTTTTCATATTAGTATTTCAAAAAACGGTATTACTGATATTTCGTGAAGTTACATAAACATAAATGAAGATGCGTTCACAAACTTCAACATTTTTTATGAAATTGAGAAGTTCCACAAACTAAAAATTGTGCTCAAATATGGTTTACAGCATTTGAAAGCATGAATCTTTACCTTCAATTTATTTTTTTATTGAACTCTATATGATTTTTTCACCGAGTTATTCAACATTGAAGCAAAAGTGGTTCTTTTTGTTTTAATGTTGATTAACTCAGTGAAAAAAAATCGATTTACCATATAGATTTACCATCAATTTTGGTGTCATTTCGAGTATTATATTCAAATACCTGAATGTGACTTCCATTTCGAGTATCATTTATTTTGATGTTACCGTCAAATAAATGAGTGACCCATACACTGAAAGTAGTTTGTTTGGCAATACCTACCAAATGTTTAGTGAAATAATGCTAATTAAACGTTTAGTTAATATAATTAAAACATTTGGTAGCTATTACCAAACTCTTTTTTTAGAGAACTAACTTGAATATATTAGTTGGATATATTAGGAGATTGCATTAAAAGCTGTTGTTTTTTTTTGTATTTGAGCATTAATTTCATTAACAAAATATATGAATACCTCAATCAAAATATTTTCTTTCAAAAGCTATAACTTTTTGCCACTTTTCTGGCAGAAGTTGAATTTTGTGACGAAAGAATGATTTGTCTTTTCATTCGAGTCAATCCATTCAGCAACTCAATTTTCAACTTCACAATAATTACGGAAGTGTGTATCTTCCAGAGCGTGTTGCATCAATCGGAACAGATGATAATCGCTTGATGCCAAGTCCAGAGAATACGCTGGATGCGGAAGAACCTTCCATTCGAGATCCATATCAGTGTTTATTTCACGGTTATAGCAACATGGGGCCGAGCGTTATCATGGATATGGTCAGGAAAAGAATCATCTTTCGACGATTTGATGCAATTAATGATCATTTTTGCATCAAATTATCATTCAAACGTTCCATTGTACATAACTCACAGTGGTGATTGTTTCGTTCGATTTCACAACAGCTCATAATACACGACACCCTCCATATCCCATCAAATACATTGCTTTGTAACTGTGGAATCATCACTTTTGAATCGTCGAAATCAGTCTTTACATACTATTTCCGATGGAGCAGATTCACCATAAATCTCCGCAAGCAATCGATGAGTTTTAGCTGCACTTTTTTTCAAATCAAAATAGTGTAGAAGTACACGTAGGAAAAACAACTTATCGTGTTCTATTTTAATTCAGTTGTAGAAAAGCACATGTGTAAATAAGGATGGCGTCTGTTGACTGAATTTTATTGGGAAATGTTCATACTTCAAAATGATATAAATAACAGAGATCTCTGACCACAGCATATGCAGCTACAATTATCTAAATGTGAGCAGCGGCTTTTAATGCAATTCCCTAATATGTATACTGAGAAAAATCGTTTTCTATAATATAATATTAGAAAAGTTTGTAATATAAATATTTGTATTCATTTAAAAATTTAAAACTTCTTTAAGTATGGAAAAATTATTTGTTCATAACCTACTTATGACAATTATTATAATTGAAATATTTAAATAAAATAATAGAATGCGTTAATGTACCTACTAATGGTCGGATAGTCGAAATAGATTATGACCCATTTGGGTCCAATGCAATGTCCGGACGTAATTATTGTCCGACCACATTTAGAAAATTAGTATGCTGACGGAAAATAATATTACTATAAATTGATATTTAATGACAAAAGACTAATTCAAATCGATCTTTATATTAACAATATCTTATTATTATCAAAGATTATAAAAATAATTTATTGCGTATCCTGGGTACCAATCATGAAACTTTTTCCCTAGGATGAAAGTGAAAAGTGAAAATTTTTATCGTTGAAATTAATGGACAAATTTTTCACTTTTTACTTTTCATCCTAGGGAAAAAGTTTCGTGATCGATACCCTGCAGTATTATATCCGGACATTAGGCTATTGATTGTCCAGCCACTGGTAGATTTAGACACTGCACTCTATTACTTATTTAAATATTTCAATTAGTAATTGTTATGAATGAGTTCAAATAACTTTTCTAAGTCTTTTCAAATGTGAATACAAATATTTACAAACATTTCAATATTATAAATTGTATTATTTGTAATAACCTACTCTTAAACATCCGGCCATTAGGATATTTATCTTATTTAATATCATATTAAGTCGGTAGTACATATTAAATCGAGGGTACAACTTAGGATGGGTGATCGCTTGAGAATACCATGAAATTAATTTCCAAATTCAGGAGGAAGTGTTTTTTTTTTAATTACAATTTTGTCGTGTGTATTTCGGAATATGATGCTACTAAAAAATATATAATATAATATTTTAGTAATAAAATTGGATAAATTTATTTTATAAAATAATTTACGGGTTTTTTTAAATTAATCTTCATTTTAGTTTTGACCATTAATTAACGATCCGAATTTGCGTCCCTGAAATTTAATATTTTTATATCCCCAAAATTGATTATTTTTTTCGTAAAAAGAGTGCTCTCTGGGTGTCATGTCATCCTTGTTTAACAACAAGGATGAAGTAATATCTGAGCGGGACTCGGATGGAAATTTGATCATATAGCTCAATGTAACAAAATTATGTTCCCTTTTTATTGGACAACATCATAGCACAATAATCTACTGCCATTATTTAGAAATTATTTTGATATTGCCAATAGCACTATGACATTATATTTCGAAACAGTACACAGTGGACTAGAATCCCGAAACGTTGGCCATAAAAATTTCGAATTTTTGAAAATGTCGAATTTATAAATAAAATTGAAATAAAATGTTAACCAAAATTAAATTAATTTCATACAATTAACAATTTGAACACAAGTTTTATATTCATGTTATTAAATTTTCCAACTAAATTATTTTGTTACGTCAAAAAATTTGTTTACTCATATCCAAACAAGAAATTTGTAATAGTTGATTCAATTAAATTTTATTTTATTCAATTCAATGGATTTCTCAGTGTAAGCTGGGGGGTTTTGAACTACCTATAGTTAATATAAATATTCCAGTAGTATAAATATTCCACAAATATCATTTCATTCTACATTAGATGTATACGATTTTTTAAATAATTATTTTGCGTTATAAATTGCATTCTAAAGATTTTTATTTTGAGTACTCATAAGCTTTGTTGTTAATTAATTTCTTTTTTAACGCATGCAAATTGTCAATATACTTTCTAGGATACATCAGGATGATTTTGGATTTTGCATTCCCTTGCTTCCATCTACTGTATCAGCAAATATGACACGTGCATGTATGTAATCTAAGAAGCAATAAGATGCACACACCTGCAAAGGATCGCGATACGTGGGCGCAGATGCGCACGCGGACGTATGAAAGACACGAGGCACGAATTGCAAGCGAGGAGGACCATCAGTTACTACCTACCTATCATCTAACTAGAAAGCCCCGTCCACCATCCACTACCCTTTGCTTAGTTAGCAGATTACGCGAGTAACATTCAAGATATATTCTCCCCTTCAACCTCCGGAAAATGGCGGGGCAAAAAGAGGGCACAAGCAGAGCGTCTCGATGACTATAAAGCCTCACCGTGACCAGCTAAGCTCGTGTTTCTAACTGCAGTTAGCTCAAGAGTTTTGTACGTGACTTTTTGAAAGGTCGGAGTGTGTCTCGCACAGTGCGATTATTCACCACGCAAGTGCGTACCAAATTATTAATAATAGTTGAGGAATCGTCGTCTTTCGGAATACTCCAAAAATCATCATGAACATCCTTGTGAGTATAATCCCTTAATTTTATTCACTGTTTCGCGATTAGTCATTTTGTAATTGATTATTAAAAGTGGAAAACTTCTAAAAATAGCTGGTTTTGATTTCGAAATTTAAATCAAAACCTCTTATTTTTAAAAGTTTTCCACTTTAATATTAAATCAAACGAAATTTTTTAAATCTTTATTAAACTGTCAAATTGAATTTCAAAATAAAGAAAATCTGGATTGATGTATGTACATAAAAATAAATTTGTCATCTTATATTATAATAAATATTTTAATTTCTTCGATTATTTATAAGATAAAACTTTACTATATTCCGGTTAAAGATTCTTTTACATATACTATTATTTATTTAATTGATTTCATTATTATTCTAAATATATTTAGAATAATAATTACATCAATTAAATAAACAGTATACGTAAAAAATAGTAAACATAAAAAAAATCTTTGACCGGGATGTAATAAAATTTTGTTCTAAATAATCGAAGAAATTAAAATATTTGTTAATATAACTGATTTTTTTTCAATGCACATCGATTCAGATTTTCTTTATTTTTAAATTCAATTTGGCAGTTTAATGGAGATTTAACGAATTTCATTTGATTCAATATTACCTTATTTGACTCTTTTTTTATTAATAATCAGCGCACAGTTTGGTTGAATTGGAAATTGTAACATTTACGCAAGAATTAAACAACAACATCCGATTTCATTAATTTGTGTCTTTTTTTTTTATTAATTTACAGTCGTAAAATATTTTAGGATTGTATTTTTACAACAAATTTCTCTACATTTAGCTAGAAAGAGGCAATTGCAGAAAAATGTTACGATTGCTTTGATGATTTGATTATCGCAGAATTAAAATTTGGCAGAAAAGGTGGATTATTTATTGCGCATTGGAATTTATAAAAATTCATATTTCATTTGCGTCGGAGAAGTTCTTACAAACGTATTAGTTGCGACGAAGATTTTATCGGAGTCGATTTCGTCACTTCCGTTTGACGCATACAAATAGCGGCTAAAGTATTCTCGGAGAGATGATGGCAAATAAGATTGTTACAATTGCGATATCGTGCAAATCTGGTGTTATTTTATCACAGTACGATATTGTATTGTGCGAGTGACCAAAATGAGATGTCGGGGAAACATGTGCACAATTACACGGATCAATTCCAGTACCTGTTATGCTTATTGTAATCATTAGTTTTCTCATTAACCCGCGTCAAAAATATTGCGCGTCGTGTCGCAAATTACTTAACTCTCCTCGGCTTTCCGCATACAATAGAGGAAACTCCGACAAGCGTGAGACGGGGATTATGACGTATATGGAACAACGTATAATTATTCATAATCGCGCCGGCTCTTGCAATGATTCGAAATTCTCCTGCGTACTGAACTACCTACCCATCTCAACCTACCTATCTAGCAGACCCTCTTTTGCATAAATACATAAAGTTATATAATTTCGCGCGACATTTATATTATTACCACTGTAATAATCTAATATTAAATAGCAGTTTAAATGCTTCAGGGGACAGATGCATAATAACAAGTGAATTGTAATAACAATATTTTTTTTTAATTACTAGTTAATTGTTAGTTAATTAATTGCTACTAAGTACGTAACTCAATTAGAAATGGATTAGGACTATCATTATTAATTAGTGAGAATTATATAATTATGTAATTATATAATATTCTATAACTGGGAGACTCCTCTTTCTGGACTGTCGAATACTGTGCTCATTGCTCATTGTAGGAACGCTATTAGAATACTCGGTATAGGTATTAACTTTCAACTGACATCACACGATTAATCATTTTTGCAGATATTACTACTCGGTCTGACAACGATGGCGTACGCACAGTTCAGCAGCAGGTTCACGACTCCATATCCACAACCGACGCAATATTACAATCCTAATTATTACGGCCGGCCTTTTTACGCTATACTGCGACAAACGCAAGACTCCGCGCCGGACGGATCATATTCTTACAGGTATAAGATAGTCTTAGTGCCGAGGTGTATGTATCTCTGTGCCGAAGTGTACGTACGTTTCGTCAAGAAAACGATCTCGACACGCTCGAGGAATCGCGGATGCCCTCGAACGTATGAAAATACGCGGCATTCGATCGATACAATCGCAAAGTTAACACGCTTGGCGTCCGTTTTTTCTTCTCTTTCTATCACTATGTCTTCATCGAGGAGTGATTAATAGGCAGGAAGGAAGTGTAGTTAATGCACCGGAAACGCACGAAAGTAGTGACGCGCTTTGGTAATGATATATTAAAACTTATATATTATTTCTTAATAAATTTTTATATATTGTTTCAAAATTTCTATACTTTTTATAAATGATAGAACTAAGGAAAGATGGCATATAATTAAAAATATTACTTTAGAAAAGAGAAAAGCATAAAAAATCTTTTTCAGTTTATGTAAAGTTTAGAAACGATAATAATTTATTAATTATCAATACAATTTTTACACGAATTGATTTTCTTTTTAGAACAAGATCTTCGTTAATGATGAAAGCCTTCTTTTTAGAAATGCTTTAAACATTACGTTAAAGATAGTATGTAATTGATCAAGAAAAATCGACATAATTGTTTAAAAAGATGTAGGATGCATCGAGTCATTTCTCGATAATATTATGTTATCTATATAAGCATTGTTCAACCGCTAATATAGGTAAACGGTTGAAAAATATTTCAATCTTGATAATGACGACATTCTTTTACCATCCAAAAAAGGAGTTTAAACATTGTAATTATATATATCAATTGTGCTTGCGTAATATTTGTTGGACAAGTTTGCGATTATTTTAATGTCCCACTACGTAAACAATTTTCAAATCTCGTGACTTATACGGCGAAAATATCTCTCAACAAGAAAACATTTAAATCGTGCGAAGGCCAATAGTCTTACATGGCTGCTTGGGCGTGTTCGTGAGTACAATATGCCTTAATAGTAATTAGACACAAAAAATGTGCGGACTCCGGTGTAGTAATCACACGTGTATTGCAAATTCGTGGACATTTCTCATGTGAAACTCAATAATTCTCATGTAAAACTCAACAATTCTTATGTAAAATTCAATAACGATGAAGAAGTTTCCGGCTAATTTTCATTTACAACTCAAGAGTGCAATAAAATTTGCCTAATCATTTTATCCTATTTATCACAAGTAGATAGTTCTTATAATCGCCCTTCATTTTAATATTGACTTTAATATTTATTTTAATTTGTGAGACGATAATAAAATCAAAATAATTTATTTAGAAAAATTGTATATTATCGTTCAATATCAAAATTATCATTTACATTTCCTAATTACAATGGCAAAATAACTTCATTTACCAGAACAAAAAAATAATGATTAAAATATACCTTATTAAAATATATTTGACATAACGCAGATATCATAATATGACATGTGATAGAGAAAATTGATTAAAATTATCTTAATTTAAACAGAATTACATTAAGAACATGTTGTGCTACAAATATGTTCTTGAAAAAAGTTTTAAGAACTGCGTAATGATTTTTTAATAGCAAGATTTTTAATGTCACTACAATATTTTTTTAATTTTAATTAAAGCGCAAATGACAAATTTTTTTTAATAATAAATTTTCGGTCAGCCATATTAGATCTGACTTCAAATTCGGATTTATAGTGACCTTAAAGATCTTGTTAAAATTATCACGCAGTGATCCTTAAAACTTTTTTCTTTAATGATTATTTTACAATGTGCTCTTTGTTTTCTGTTTCTTGCTTTTTTCCTCTATATCTATGTGATCATTTTATCGATAATTGTATTTTTTGCTACATGTGTTTCCCGTTTTTTTCGAAGTTCATGAACTCTTATCTCGAGCGACAGAAAAACAAGACGAGAAACAAAAAGACAATATGTAAAAAAAAATAGCAAAAAGCAAGAAACGGTAAACAAAAAGTACATTGTGGAATAGGTTTAAAAACGTTTTTTTAGTATAAAAATGTTCTTGATGTTCCTGCGCAGAAATTAATTCGGTGAAAAAGAAACATATGGCGTTAAAAGAAATCTACTGATAGAAAAAAAAATCAGAAATATGTCAAAAAAACGTCAATTTTGATCATTTTAATCTCACTTTTCTCAAAAACGTGAAAGAACAATTTAATTATCGGATTCATGTTCAGCGTGCAAAAGTCGGAAATTTCATTTCCGAAAGTCGGATGTTTCATCGGAAACGGTATATCTCTTATAATATTTAAAGAAAAAAAGTCTTAAAATATTGGTCTGTGTAATTATTATGTTATTTTCACAACATAAGTGACACACAAAAAACGCGCGCGCGCATATCTGTCTCTTTGTCGCTCTCTCCCTCTGTCTATCTGAAGTATTACCCCCTGAAAATTATCATATAATTATGTAAACTAAATGATTATGCAAAAAATTCCTTATGAAAGTCTATAAGAAAAGTCAACTACGTGCAACGTGTTGAAATGTTTTCATCCCGCTCTGACTTTCTAATATATCATGATTCGCTATAATTAGTCAAATGTAACGAGATGGTTCTTCAGTCAATAGGTCAATTATTATCAAATTAACTATCAGGTGATCGATCATCTCGCCTCGTCCCGTGATATTTACATCGTGCTAATCTATACGAGATCTCTTACATTCAATTTAACAACTGTAATAATCGACTTTGGAAAACTAAAAATCTGCGATTATGTTGCAATATACATTCTACATTGTGTTATACACTTGTTTCTGGGCGTGACCTAATATTTCATTCAGCTCAATGATCCTCAGAAATATTTTCCGATGAACCGATCATACCTCCAAATAATAATCTTTTGACGCTTTCTAACTTCAAGACTTTGTACGACTTTATCATTGAAATAATCGTATGGGTGTGTCGAGGTCGCGGACCATTTACGCATAGGTTACTAGATGATTTTCCAAACGCTACTTGAAACAATTGATCAGTCTTAATTGAAATCGCAAAAACCGTAAATCCGTCTCGACCAAAGGAAGGATACATAATTGGCTTTGATGTTAATCATACATGCGCCACTCAGTTGTACAACACGTAATAATTGCGCAATTGAACAATTACAATCGACCTACCTGCTTACTTCTATCTGCCGGCCTACCTACGCGCTCACCTTCCTCGTCCATCCTTATTGCCCTTCGCATCTAACTTTGGCCCCTCCTGTAATATCTGTCTTTGAGACCAGGCCAACTCGACCAGTACCTTTACCTAACATCTTAAAAATGATAATATTTCTCTTTAATTGATTTTTCTAGTAATAGTTTGGTGGAAAAGCAGACACGAAAATATCAATCAAGCAAAGTTGTTAAAAACTATTATTCCTCAGAATAATTTGAAATAAATTTTAATTGCATTTATTCATATTTTGCATGAAAAATTTTCATGCAAAATTAGAAGCTAAATTTTTTGAAGATAAAATATTGAGATTCTTAATAATTTTTTGAAAAATAAGCGAAAATAAACTATCTTAAGCAAATTTTGTATTTGTATAGGTGGTCAACGGACCATCAAAAAGTTTTATATATTTATATGTGATAATTAAAAATTTATTTTATTTATTTTTTACTTGATTATCAATATTAAACTGCAATTGTTTCTCTTCCTGTAAACAGTAACTCATATAAAATGCCTAAACAATTGTTTCTGTTACAGCTACGATACAGAAAATGGTATTTCCGTAGCGGAAACAGGACAGCCGAAAAACATTGGGCCGAATCAGATCGAGGCGGTCAGAGGTCAATACAGTTACACGGCTCCAGATGGTACTCCGATTGTAGTCACTTATACAGCCGATGAGAATGGTTTCCTGGCGAGTGGCGCCCATCTTCCGACACCACCGCCAATACCGATAGAGATACAACGAGCTCTGGCATACAATGCGGCTCATCCTGAAGAGGAGGAGCCTTATAGGAGATATTAAAAATATCTACGCTAAGACTGCTCCCAATGCTTCAATATATCGATGTGGAATGACGTTGCGGTTATTGTTTCTCGGATATTGATGATATTCTGCTGTAATATTACTCGTATCGTTATCTATGGATGTTTTTCAGCAAGGACACAGTATAAAATACAGTGAACCATTACATTCTTGTTTGCTAACATTAAACAAGGATGAAATGATTCATTGTGTTATAATGTGTCCTTGCTAGAAAACACTATATGAAAGATACTTAATTTAAAGTGAGTGATGGTTGTGTTTTAAAATTTACTGCCAATACTGAAAATCTATAGTGCACGTGACGTACACTATAGATTTTCAGTACTGGCAATAAATTTTGGAACATAGCCTTTATCTTGGCTATTAATCCTGGGATGAACGTCTGCAATATAAAAAAAATGTCAAGTTTCCTCTATTTCGGGTACGGTCAATCGCACATACAGTTGCTCCATGATCATTATATCAATGATCAGCTTGTCGAGTAATATTATAGCGTTTTATTTTGTGCATACAAGATGAGCACGATTAGGAGACGATGGAACGTAAGATCGATGAGTACAAACAAAGTTAGAATAAGAAAATTAAAGCAATTTTTATTTTTTATATAGTTGATATAAAAGAGTCTTCAAGAAATAATTTTATTTGTTATTCTCAATGATCGTAAAATTTCGATCAATAAATGTAACTGTAAACAAAAAGAAACAAAATTGTACGCGGTTATGGAATACTTCTTTTTCTTTAGAAACTCGTTTTCTCAATTTTAAGTGCAACAGGGATAGAGATTCCTATAACTGAAGTATAACTTGTTTTGAATTGATACATATCTTAAGAAATTGCGATAGTGCGACACAAGAAGCTATAAAATTATTCTGGAAAGTAAGTTGAATAAATCGATAATTAACAACTGCCATCTAAGTTTGAAATAAAATAAAATGTTGAACATCATTATTGTATATTGCATATGTGATATGCGCAGCATGATATGTTCAGTGAAGTTGTGCATTATTATATAAGATGGCATGATAATATCTTAAATATGAATTACGCAAGACCTTGCCTTACTCAAGAGAGATCAATATATTACGAGAATTTATGCCAAACGATGCAATTTGCGAATCAAATCATTCATTTCTTTTCAAATAAATTAAAATACAATTTGGGCTCTGACAAATAAATCACTAAATTGTAATTGCCTTTTATTGAGTTAACACAGGATACCAAACGTTTTTTTTTTATTCTATACAACTAATACAAATAAATAATAATGCATATGTTTTGACTACAGGTTTAAGTCTTTTTCAGTACATATAAAAAAATCAAAATTGTATGAACACAGGCAATTCTATAAATGATCTTACAAAGGATCTCTTTTTTCAAATCTTTTCCTCATCCAGGAAACTTTACGCTTTCCGAATCAAATTCATATAACGTTTCTAATTTACGCTCTGTAATTACTAATTACTAAACGTTGTATTATATTTTATGCGATTCTTATGTTCATTTATTCTAGTTATTAGAGTTTTGTTCGCTTGACGTACATAGGACGCATCATAACTGTTTACATTTTATTTGATTTTATAAACTACGTTAATATGTAAACTTTTGATGTAAATTTATCTTTAAATACTCTAATAAATTGTCGTAATTTATTCATTCCAATGTAAATTATACGAACAATGGAGAATCGTTCTTAAAAGACTTATTAATTTTTCAAAAGCATTATTTAAAAATAAAATGATAAAATAAGTTTAAATGTGTCTTTTTGTTTGTGTTTTGGGAATTATCTGTATTCTATGAATCTTGATTTATTTGTTCTAATTTTTTATGCAATCTTTAATGTTGTCGAAAATTATCTTTAGAGAATATCAATTACGCGAAGCAAAATTTTTATAGCTTCATCAAAATTTTTTTGTGAAATCTTGAATGTGATAAAAGTAGTACTTTGTTAATTAGATTCAATAACACTCAATTTTTGATAGAAAGGATGACGAGAAAAATAGTTTAAATAACGTCTCGAGAGTGGGCTTAAAGTATAGATAATTACAATTCAGTCATTTATTTCCGTAATGATTCATTAGAAATTTACGTTTATAATAGATCCGTAAAAAATAATATTATTGATGCATATATGTGTGTATTATTATTATATTTATTTATTAAAATTCGTACTCATTCTTGAGAATTCCGATCGTCATCTAAATGTGCCTTAAACCGTGAACAGTATAAATTCATATAAAAATACAGAATTAAAGAAATTTCCATGTACTTTAGAACAACATACTTCATATATATCATAAAATTCGAAAATTAATTTTTTTCAGCTTGATATAATTCTCTAAGTAATAAAAATAGACTTAAAATTTTAAGATAAAACGGTAATCTTTTATGCATGTAATAAATTTCCGAAGAATTAAAATTCTGCCAGAGTTCTATTATATACTGTTCAGGGTTTACTAATTAACGATATCTCTGATAAGAAAGACCTACCGAATACGAAGTGCATCCCCGTTTGCTTTACTTTTCCCTAACATAAAAGAGATTACATCAACCGACATGTAATCGAGGTCCTACGCATCCTGCAGTCGTATCACTTTTCTATATTCTCCGTTCAATGAGAAGTGATGGAGAAGATAGAAAGGTGTAGAATCGCGGTGCAGGTGCCCGATACGATAATGTCATACCACAATGTCATAATTATGATTTAATGTATCATGCTAAGGTTATTAAATCGTTTAATTGCGCATGCTTCTCTACGTATTCTGAGTATCGTAATCAAATACCTATATCCATTAAGGATTCGTCTGTCTGGTGCCTATGATTTTTAACAAACAAGGCATGGCCATCGTAATAAATTATTTTAATATGCAAGATATGCTATCCTTTTATTCATCAATAATAATTTTAATTTATAATAACGACCCAAGCTATTCGCTATTCATTATGATAAATGTTGAATTTGCAGCAACATATTTTAGAAAAGAGGGTATTTGTAAGAAACCGGAGAATAAATATACGAGATTATGCTGTGAGTTAAGATAAATTACAGATCACCATGTGCTCGATAAATCGTTTGGCGATTTTTCAGGATTACATGTGAAGATGTGAAGACCAAGTCGAAGTAGTTGGCGAAGTTGCCTAGTGGCTTGCATTGGTTTGTTTACATGGATACTTTACGACCCGGTCACGTTGTATCGTAAACGTCGCGGATTGCACGTTACGTCAGAACCACACGGGGAAGAGAAAGGATGGTACCTACTCCCAGACTCTGTTTTGGGTTTGATTCAGACGAGAGTATGTCTTTCTCAATTCCAACCAGTAAAGACTTTTAAAGAAAAAAAGTCTCGACATCGCGCAATGTCTACCTTCGCGTTTTGACGATAACCGTTTTTGGTTAGCTGCACGCGATGCTGTCGCTCGATCACATAAGAATCCCAGCAATTCATTACGAAGCCAGTGTGAAACACAAACAATGTACGCGTCAAAATAATATAACAATCAGGAAATAAGCCTGAGCTGCTTTCTCATGAGTGTGCTGTCATGACATGATCACTTGTCTGTAAAAATCTGTGCAAATGCGTTAATTTAACGCATTCGTATCATAATTTTGAGTATTTTCAAATTATATTATAAATTCCATAAAAATTGAAGATTTATGCATTTAATTATCGCTGGATTGTGCATTTACAAACATAAAGCATTTTCTTAGAGATTTCTCAAAAGTCCTGTAGAATTATGTCTACCTTTCTCGAAATCATATTACTCGTATGTATAATATTTCATTGTTACGATAATAATCTTACATTACTTGTACACGCATCGACTTTTTTCTGCGTCGATTGATTTACCAGATTTATTTACCTATCAGCTGTTGAGTCCCGACGATCATCATTGAATCTCTCTGTCTCGCGAAAGAACGTTGACTTTAACAACTATTAATTAAAATAGATTCTCGCATCGTTCGGTGACTTTCGCACCGATAAATAGTCGTTTAGCGTGATTTATAGTGATTGTATTGCCGCAGCGTGAGTTTGATCAACCCCAAGTTTACAAACCCGAGCACGAGAGCAAAATTTTAGGCGGACCGACCAGCCATGGAAATGCCATCTGGATTAATGTTAATGATAATCGTAATACTCGTAATATTATGTTAAAGGTGAGTCAGTGAAAGTAAATCATCGGTCTCCTGTCCATTGCACAACGTGCAAGCGAACGAGCGTATCTCTCGGGACTTCTCGGTTTATCCGAGAGATGGAAATGAGGGGGTATCGAATTTAGTGATTCTCCTAAACTTTCTATAACCATAGCAGAGCTTTGAGAATATAAAATAGATAGTCATAAATCGATCATAGTAGCAAGAGCATAGAGCCAGCAGGTTTTAGACGTCGCTCTATTCAAATTTTATTGCTCACGCGATATGATCGCGCGATAATTGCCAATAATTAGCTTGTCCGGTTGCACAATGTACATACATATTTCAACTTCGGGCACATCTTGCATTCACAATACGAGCAACTTATTGATAGTTAAATTGCATCTGTAAATCGAACGGAGCAGTTAGTTCGAAAGGTCAGTTCGATTTCATTTCTAAAATTAATTGGTCATGCAAATTGAAATATATAATTGGTTGGAAACAAGATGAATATCACACGATTCCTACCGATTGCTAGACATAATTGATCCATGAATTTGGCAACTTTATTATGATGTGTTGTGCTTTACATGAAGTCGATGTTATATTATATGATATCGTAAATGTAAATTGTGATGCACGCGTCACGCAAGCTATACAAACTCAAAGGTTATTTAAACAATTTCATACGTGAACTAGCGTAAAGTACCTATTGTTGAAAATTGCAATTGGCAGTTAGTCATTACCAGTTAACAATTATTAATAGTGACGGTTAACCATGACGATTGAAAAAAAAGTAAAAAGATTAAAAAATATACATCCATTCAAAAAAACTATTATACCAAGTTAT